GTGGTTTAGTGGTTTTTTCTCGATTTCAGATTTTTTCACGTTAAATCTTGGTGTCTTTTACTTTTTGCTGCTTTAATATTTTCTCGTTTGTTATGTTGCGGTGGTTTACTCATCATCTCCAACAGTTCGAGCTACTACTCACCTAATTAATATAATACCCTCAAAAGAAATTGGCCTTATGATGAGGACATCAGACGATATCAACGAGTCTATCAGCGTAGGAATCGTAGAACGATGACTATGATTCACAATCGTTATTTTTGATGCATTTATGTATTGTAGTTTATTTACTAATTATGATTATACCCTTTCTTTTGAGTTTGTTTGAGTTGTAGCCCAAGGGGCATTTGAGTCATTGTTATTTTATTTTCTAGGCCTATATATTGTGGCCTCTTCTATTGTAATGGGATGATGAATGATTACTAATGAAAATTCAACTTTCTTGTTCTTGATCTCTTTATGAGTTCTTGAGAGAAGAAACCCTAGAAGAGGGCCACACATCACCCGTCAACCACTGGTGGATTCCGGGACTCGCGGTTAGTACTCGTAGTATTTCTTATCGTTTCTTCATTTCCCCTACATTCGGCCACCTATTCTTCCTCAAACACCCGCCGGCCACTTCAAGTCCTCAAGTTGCCGGTCAACCTCAACAAGATCCCTTCCACTTAAACCACACCCCTTCCTCCTTGGCCATACGCCACCCAAACTCCAAACCCTGACCGCCGGCCTTCCCCTCCCGTGGATCCAAAATTGATTTTCTTGCCTCTTTCCAAAAAGTGGAGCATGAAGATTAGGAGGGAACTCTAATTCAAAATCTGATTTCAGGAACTCCAATTCAAAATCTGATTTCAAATTCAGATTTTGAATTAATTTTCTAAATTGACATAATCCATATTAGGAAAGTGCTCAATTCGTGAATCTAATTTACCTAGCCCAAGCCCTTGGTCGCCGGCTTGAAGCCTCCAAACCCCGCCCCTTTCTCTACCTAACCTGCCACCCTCACCACCTACCTAAGCCGCCGGCCTCCCCTCATCCGCCCGCCCCCAGTTTCCCCAAGCCCCTCACCGCCGGCCTTCCATAGTCTCCACTAGCTGGCGGCCCCTCCCTACCATTACCCTTGAATTTTGAATTTCAAAATTCAAATCAATCTTAATTACTTTTCTAATTTATCCCTCTATTAATTTGAAAAGTTGCCTCATTTGAATTCAAATTATATTTTAATTTCAAAACTTTCCCTATTAACCAACTTAAATTAGAAAACCTCTCAATTACATTAAATCTGAAATCAATTTCAAATTTAATGACAATCCCTAATTAAATCCTCCCCGGGCCAATACATCGAGCATAGACACATCCAAGCCCCCCCCCCCCCCCCCCCC